TTTATTAATTGTAATGGAGGCAGATCACAGACCAGATTAGGTCTCCATTTCCACTGTGCTAGACATACCCAGAGACAGATCCATAGGCAGAGCCTGACATCTGAACAAGCAGCACAGACAAAGTCAAGATAAGAAAAAGTCACTGAAGGGAGCCCAGGGGTAACACTCACATGCCTCTGTTTTCAAGTCTCATTGAGCCTTTTTTATTCTCTGGATTCAAGACAGTCTGTGACTGTAGCACTAAACCTGCATTATATGGGAAAACTGTGGTTTAAACAGGTTTTAAAATGGCTTTTGGTGGTCTCTTTGCAAACACATGCTTCTTCCCAGCACTCCCCATGTTATCCATGCAGGAATGTCCTGGGAAGGTGTCCTGAGGTGTTTCCCATTGGCCTTTGTTAACCTCTTCTTGTGATTGGGTGTTCCTGTAAGCCCCTTGAGACTTCTAATTGGTTACTCTGTGAATCCTCCTAAACCCTATAAATGTAACATCCCCAACAATAAACTCTCTCTTGCCTCCTCTCCACGCCCGGTGTCCTGTCTCCCTGCCGGCCATGGGGCCACGTACGGGGGGAGCACCTCTCCACTCCAGGCTCAGGGCCAGAAGAGACCCCTGAGAAACCCCTGGAGTTCCCTTTCCCCATCCTTCAAAGCGTCGCAATGGTTCTTCAGATGGAAACGGAACTAGAACTGGGCCGCCCCACGCTGTGGGTGGGGAAAGGGATCCAGATGTGACTATTGTCAAACCGAGTAGAGCTTCGCAGCCATCTATTGTTTTCAGATTTGCTCTACTAAATTTCCTTTCAGATATGCTTTCTGGTTAATAGTGAAAACAGTTGTTTAAGTAAAACTGTCTTTTTCACTCATTTATACTAGGAGAACAAAGAAGTCCCACTTTAGATTCTACCTGAAGCTGGCAATGTCTAATAACACTCTTGTGTGTGGAGTTTTTTATTTACAGATTGTACTTTGTTCCAAGGGATGAAAAAAGGCTAATCCTTGCACCGGAGGGCACAACATTAGCAACATATCTTATAAGAGGCAACATATAAAACATATTTGTTTAAAAGTGGTTGTAAATGCAAAGGCTTAAACAGTCTCAAAACACCTCCATCTCTTCACTAAAACTGAAAACTCATAATAACCAAACATGATGTTTCTGTAAACACTACAAGTATTAGTAACTCCTGAAATGGCCTTAAAACACCCAAATTCAAAACTCAGGCTAAAAGAAATTAAAAGCAACCTCCAGTCTTGCACACTGTCAAGACTGAAGGGCTACTATCAGTCACTGTTAATTATTTGTAATAGTCATGTTCAGCCAAATAAATGAAGGCAATGCATAACACATAACAAAATACTGTTTCTACATTTAACTCAGTGGCTGTATTTCACAAGACTAGATCAGGTCTCTAACTGTGAAGCTAGAAAATGTCACCATCCCACCCTTTCTGGCCAGAAAATTGTGTCATCTCTTCTCCTCTCAACAAGTCAGCAGCACCTGCTGTGTCTTCCCACATTGCTGCCTCCTGGAGTATCCTGTATCCCCATATTCCCTCCACTACATTAGTTCAAAGAAAAGGCAAGCACATGAAGTTAAAACTATGTTTTATTTTTGAGAAAAGAAGCAGAGTAGGTACTCTTCTCAGGTAAGAATTATGAAGCAGAAATCCAGATAGCCATCCCTTACCTTTCAGGCACACCCATATATTTAGTGTTTCCTACTTATTCACTCTGAACTATCCTCCATCACCTAGACTGTTTCTGAGGTGCCTGACTTTCCCTGAGACCATGCAAAGAATCCAGGCACCCAAACCAGCCATCTGTCCACAACACTTTTAGGTTCTAGATGTCATTTATGAAGTGACACCTAGAATTCGTGACAGAAAAAAGGTACTTCTTCATGCTTAAGCTCTCTTGATCTGCTCAAGCCTGCAGTGATATTGCAGCACACTGAATTTCAGAGCTGGAGTCTTTGATTTTATCTTTAACAAAATTGTGTATAGTTTCTAAAAGTTCAGTAGTTTAAATCTAGTATACCTGAATCACCACTGTATCGATTCCACTCTGAGAGCATTACAACCCTATTGAACTAAGTTAACTGAGGACTGAAAGAGCTTCTCAATTTTTAAGTTATTTCTTCTGCAACTATACACCTCCCAAGCGTACCTTGTTTATATACAATTCATTTCCCAGGCCTCCATTACCTCTCTCACAGATCTTAACCTTTGCTGAAAACATACTGATTAATACTACTTCTGTATTTTTTAACATAAAAAAGACCCTATTTTACCTTTCAAAAGAAGCTGAACAGACACACTAATGTGAATTATTAGTACCTTTCAATTATACCTGACCTTCTTTTTTTAAAGGGTCTCCTCTGAACCCAATCTAGTCTATTAAAAAAAAACAACCCCACGACATGTTATTAGGGTAGTTATAGACAATGACTATGAAGAAGATGTTAAGGTAGTTATTTGTTTTTTCTAGGTGTGTTTTTGATTTAGAGTTTGTAATGGTAGAAAGTACACTTACAAAGACTTAAAAATATATATGGGATGACAGACGTGTGGGTATATAGCAGGGAATAGATGTTCTGCAATTTTTTCACTATGCGTTGTAACATCTTTGTCAGTTCTATACAGCTAAAAAAGCAAAACTCCAAAATCAAACTGTCAGAACGGCATCAGTGTTTCGTTAGAACTGGTTAGCTGTCTCGATGAATCAAAGGTAAAAAAAGTATAGTTTAAGCACATTGTCTCTCCAAGTACACTGTTACCAACTCTTCAGATAGGCCATTTCAGTCCTATAGAACAGGCCAGCTCAGATGCTAGTCATCATATTATTGTGTAAACTAATTTAACCTTTTAATATATGTAAAACTGTTCAAAGCTTTTACGAATTATGCTTGATTCCTGTTTAGCTCAAATTAAGACTTTAAAATCTGTACTGACTGGAGTTCTGCAATCACAAAAGTTTGTATGCTGTCAGGTACCAGTACTTCATTTTAAGAATATATAGTACATTGTTTCTCAGTTAGATGTTACACTGAAATCAATGGAGTCCTCCTTTGCAGCAAGATAGCAAAGCAATTTTCCAAAACCTTATTGACTTTAAGAGGGCTTTGCTGGGACAGAAAGACCTATCTGTGTGAAATATTTTGTTGCAGCAGAGATTGGAGTTTTGAAAAGGTCTAAAAGGAAACAACTTTCCTCTAAGGGTTATAGATATTTGTGAGGAGTACGAAGGATGCTTTGCAGTTCAAGTGTTACTGCAGCAGCTATCTTATCCCATTTGTCACTGAGAATTACAAGCCTTATTGACAGAAATATACAGTGTTTCATAACTAGGATTTCAAAGCTGAATATACAAAAGAGAGTCAGGTTTATCTGATGCGTGTCTAAATGTTCCCAATTCTCAATATGCTAAACTTGCTTCTTTAACTGTCTCCTCCAAGGGATGTAATCTTTGAGTCAAGTTGTAGAAAATTCCCTCTCATCCAAGTTGCAGCAAATTATCCGCAGTGATTCTGAGAGAAAAACTATACTTCTGCTGTGCCAGCATCTGGAAAGCAGCCTAAATGGCAAGACTAAAGAGCAGTTTAATTGCACGTTCAAACATTTTAACTCTCCCCTTCCATATGGAATAAACATTCAGTTAAGAACAAACAGCAAAAAATCCCTGTGAGGGAGGTATTGGAAAGATCACCCTTCACCAGTTTAGGATGTCCAGGGTAAAAATTGTGTAGGTTTGAAAGCCTGTAGTCTTTCAAAGCTTTCAGATTCAGAGAGGCCAAGTTTGAGCTATTTAATGAGCTATATGTGGTTGTGCTGATTAGCTGAATAGACTGAGTGATCCCAGAAAACATGATTGTACTCAAGTATTCACAGAAATAATTCACAGCCAGAAAATCTGTAAAGTCTTTTTAATTACAAGGGCATCCTGGGACAAGTCCAAAGAGGACAGAGCAACAGCAAGGCACTTTATTTTGCCAAATACTGTAACACAGTCATAGGAAATCCGGAGTTGTACAACACAAACATCCCTCATCATACCCTGATCTCTGATTAGTAGGAAATGAATGACAGCAGTGGAGCTACTCAGTCTAATTATCAGTTTTGCTGCATTTCTAATAAGCTCTTAAAATCTAGTTCTGAAAGCAGGAATTTTGTCTCCTGCAGGGAATGGTTGATAGAAATGAGCAAGATTCCAGTTTGTCAAGCCTGGTCATTTCTCTAGGATTTAAGTTCTCAGTGAATCAATAGGTTGGGGACAGAGTAGGACTTGTGTAAATTCTAATCCACTTTATCGCTATTATTCTACAGTTTTCTAGGGACCCATTTCCATGTTTAGACATGGTCTACCAATTCCAAGCTCCCCTGCTAAGTCTGGGGTATGTATGAGAATGACTCCATGATTCCATACGTGCCTGTCTATTAGGAGATAGACTGACCATCAATTAATTTTGACAACCACTCTGTTTTAATGGTATTCAGCCAATGACTGTGTTGTGAAGATCAGAGCTTGTGACTTAGATAGTAATTCAATGTTCCACTGGCTTCAGGAACCATTCAGACACTATTTAAAGTATGCATTCATAATTACACTTGCTGTAGTGACAGAAGATTGGCTTTTGGCTGCTCTTAGCTCTAACTTTTCTTCCTTCAGGGTCTTCTTTCTTTATCACTGTGCAAGCAAAAAAAAGCACCAAACCTCTTCTCTGACCAGCTAAAGGTCTTGGGAAGATGTGTCTGGGGACACAAATCAGTTAATAACTTCTGATATGGACTAATTTCTGAAGGCTATTTGCAAACTCATTCACTATTAAAACTCGTAATTTACCACAAGGAAAGTGGGGGTTCCATGACAAAAGGGGAAGTCAGGTGGCTGGCTCTTTCAGGTACATGTATATATCTTCTTTGGTATGTCACATCATAGGAGATCAGTGAAAGAACTGTTGGATTAAAACTCTATGACTGTTACACAAATCCAAATGCAGGAAAAGCATGGGAGGGAAGAAAAGGGAGTTAGCAAGTCTTCAAAATCTCCCGTTTCCCCCACTGCTTTCTTTTTTATGTTTTGTAAAGCTGTCCAGCACATAAGGCAGGGTTCTGAGATGGTAATCCTACAGTTAAGGAGAATGGAAGAATAGGAGGAAGAACCTACAGAGCAGGGTAAGCCATTTTTCAATCTAAATTGGCAATTCATGGCAAGCGTCTGAATTGTTTGGTATTACCTGGGAAAGAGTGGATAAAGATGACCATGTAATAGGTACCATTTACATTTCTGAGTGCTCTTCTCAAAAGGAATTACATTTGGGCAATGAGAGAGTAAACCTGGATAGAAAAGACATGACCTGCGCATCACATTCATGGAGGAACATATTGATCAGAACTTGCTCATGTTGTCTCATGTCAGGGAAGAACCCTACTCATGGCTTCATTGTGTGCAAGACACTACACCGGGCTGCACTTGACTGTCTTACTGTAAGTGGCAGTTTTGGATGGAAGACCTAGCCAGACTGCCAAACAGTAATGGAAAATGAACTTATGTGTAAGTTAGACTCAATAAATTTTCTGCATTGATGAGAGTAATTACCCCTTACATAAAATTAGTAGGAAGAGGAATTGCGGAAAGAATAATGGCATTACAAAATATTTTCTCTTCCAAAATATTTTTGTTTGGTAATTGCAAATTATCTTTTTTAGTACTTTACTATAATTAAAATTGGCATTTATGAGTGAAATAAGCATTTAAAAAGTAAAATGGAAACCTTTTCATTTGAAAATCCCAAATGAGGTATTTCAATTTTTTAATATCTACTTTTAGAAAAAAAGGAACTTGAACAGACACTTTCCATGAATTTCTGTTCTAAAAATGTCTCTGCTCTTAAGGGTACAGGGCAGCAGATACACATGTAAAGACTTCAAACCTCAAGAAAACATTTTAAAAATTCGTCTAGGTGACATGTGCCTTCCCACAGAGAGAGAGAGAGAGAGCATATATAGGGGTCTCTTTGCTTCCTTCAGCACCCTACCATTTTTAGGTTAATATCAGATACTGGGTGTTGCCTTGTGTGACTCAAGAACTAAGTGCCTTTTTTTTGCCTGTTACAATATTTTTCTGGTCCTGAGAAACTATGGCATTGCTTCCTCTCTATTCCTCTCAGACAGACCTTCCTCTTAGTGAAGTTTGTTGCCTCCCTTAGGACCAGATTAAGACCATTTCACTGCTTCCAGCTCAGGTCTTCAGCACAGGAAAGACATGGAACTGTTCGAGCAGGTCCAGAAGAGTGGCACAAAACTTAGCGTAGGACTTTCCTCTCCTATGAGAAAAGACTGAGAGAGTTAGGGTTGTTCAGCCCGGAGAAGTCTCCAGAGAGACCTTTTAGTATCCTTTCAGTACCTGAAGGGGCCCTATACAGAAGACAGGGACAAACTTTTTATCTGGGCCTCCTGCGATAGGACAGGGTACAATGGTTTTAAACTAAAAGAGGGTAAACATAGACTAGATATAAGGAAGATTTTTTTTTTTTACTATGAGGGCGGTGAAACACTGACACAGGTTGCCCAGAAAGGTGGCAGGTGCCCCAACCCTGGCAACATTCAAGGTCATGTTGGACAGGACTCTGAGCGACCTGGTCTAGTTGACTAAACATCCCTGTTTAGTGCAGGTGTGTTGGACTGGATGACCTTTAAAAGCTTCCTTCCAACTCAAACTATTCTATTATTCTATGTGGAGCAATCTAGAGTCTTGCATCTAATTCTACGTCTTCTGGTGGGATTAAAGAGTCTGATGTCTCCAGTCCACAGACAGTAAATAAATGAAAGCTGTAGCAAAGCGTCTTAGAAGAACCTGTCGGACTACTGAAAAGTATTTTTTCAATTCATAGGTTGCTTTTTTTTTTTCCACTGGCCACTACATCTGGAAGCAGAGCTGTGTCAGTTCCTAAGCCATGTTACTCTGGTGACTTCTAAAACAGTCTTATTGTCAATCTCTAAAAGATTCAGATTTTTAGGTGCCTCTCAGAACCAAAGTTCCAAATCATCCAGGCTTCACCTTTGGCTACTTTTATCCTTTTGCATCAGTGAAAGCAAACTGATATTATTTTATTTAGTCTTCTAAAGTTATAGAAAGCTAAAGCACTGTGATGTTTTGATGATACTAGAAACTTTGAAGTTGCTGTTTCACATTATGACTGTCTTCCCTTCACTTCATCCTCACAGTACCTGTTGTACCTTTCACTTTGAAATACATCAATCACTGAGGGGCACAAGCACCATCTGATGGCTTCTTTTAAAAGGAACTGAAACGGATATGGAACCAGGACAGAGGAGAAAGTGATAATTAGCTATTTTTCAGAATACTCTAGACTTACAGCGTATGTAAAATTAAAGTTGTGTGGCTATACAGGAAAATTCTCTACCTTTCTCTTCCTCTTTTGTAATCATACAGCTTTTCCCAGAATTTGGAAGCATTAATGATGAAACACTTAGAAATCTAAACTAAAATTGGAAATAACAACTGTGAGCAGACCTAAAAAAAAAACACCTAAGTGACTGAATAACTTGGGATACAATAATTAAAGGGAAGTCTGATGAAACTTGAAGATGAAACTCCTATATTTACCGTGTACCTTTTCATTCCAGGAGATGCTGGCAAGTAGTTCAGGTACTTATCTTTACTTCTCTGAATACATGAATTTGAGCATTTTTGTGACAGATCCAAAATAAGGATAGTGGTGTTAAAGTCATTCCGATTTTTCTTTTTTTAGAACTATGGTTCCCACTGGAAATCCAGAACTTCATTTTAAATACCTGTCTCTCTCTAAACATTACATTTGGGCCCTGGATGCTCATTGTGATCAAACAAACACCAGAAAGGGCAACCATTCAAAAATTAGCTCTTCTCTCTTTTGACATGAAAACTATATCTCTGAGAATTCCTGCTCTCTCTGTTTACATAAGCACGCCTGAGAATGTCCATCAAAGTCAAACGCTAAAGTGACACCTACCTCTTAAAACCTGAATGGACTTAGTTGCAACCTGTTTATTTCCCTCATGACCAATGTATTTTTCAAGCATGAAGAGAGCAACATCAGATGCCTCAGTAATTGAGAAGCAGAATACTTAGAGAGTTCAGAGACTTGTGAAATTAAATGGCTGTTGAATGGGGTTTTCAGGATTGCAAGCTTGAGCTTCATTGTTGGATCTTAAATTTCATTTTGATGCCTTAATTTTATTCTGGACATTGATATCTGAAAACATAAATTTTACACCAAAACACTAAACACAAAATTATAATATTAAACACAAAACATTAGGTAGCAAACAGATGCTATAAGGATGGGAGCACTAAATTTAGTAAATGCGGGAAGGAATAGAAGTAGCTCTGATATCTTTATTTAAAATCAATGCTGTCTGTACAGACAAACTGATTAATGTCTTTCTCAGGTGAGCTGCAAGTAAGAAATTAGGCATTTAAAATACAAGTTAATCAGCAGTGCACCACTGTTCTCTATACTATACTAATTAATTATACCACATAACTGATACAGATTTATTCACTCTATCTGGTGGATTTTGGTAGAGAGGGCAATAGAGAAAAGCTGCATTTTGGAAAATTTATGAATGTTCTGCAATCATTTAAACTGTTGAAAAATTCCATGAGATACTTTTTGTGACAGATTTTGGAAAAAGTCTTCAGCAATAATTAGCAGGTTTTTATGTGCACTCATTGATACATTTAAAGGCAGTATTTTCAGTGGGTTTAGTTAGGATTTGTTAGTATTGCAACTGATAAGTTAAAAAATGCTACGACTTGTTTCCTAAGAAAGAAAGAGGTCTTTGCCTAGATCTGTCAAAGTGATCCTAATTTGCTATAATATTTATTTTACGCCACAGTATAACAAGGAAAATAAGACTTTTCAAAAAAACCACTTGAAAATCTTCAGGTTTTCCTGTGCCTTGTACAAAGAATCTGAATTTCGTACCATTCCAAGCATCACCATGTTATAGGTTATAGATCCAAGGGGGGAATTTTTATTTCCCCTGCTCAGCTGTAAGAAAGACGGAGTTCGAATGGGAAGGGGGAAAGGGGGGCAATTAGTTTTACAAAAGATCTAGCCAGCAGAGCCGCATTCCTAGCTAATGGTCCATCGAAGACTGGAGTGAGGGGGGAGGAGTTTTGATTCGGTAACTGGTCCTCCTCACAAAGGAGGAAAGAGTTTTTTTGGTCTCTCTCTCTGGAACGGAGACAGGGTCTGTGTGTGGGCATTTTGAAGAAAAAGCTTTGGGGCCGGTTTTTCTGGCTCCCAACCTGGTCAGCCCTGATCGCTGGCCTCAGCTTGCTTGCAAGCTGCTTTTGCCTCCAGCCCAAACCTGCTGTGTTTCCATCGGAGAGTTTTGTGCTCACTGGGAGAAAAGGGAGGAGCCTTGAAACACCACCATCCGAGAACAACAGTGAGTTCCGTGGGGGTGGACTGCTTTTCTTTTCCTCTTCTTCCATTGGGGGAAGGATCCCCATTTTTTCGGCTTCTCCTGTGACCCAACCCCCCCCGACCCCCCCCCACCCCCCCCGTGCGGTGACTGCCAGAGCCCAACAGCGCCCCCCTGCAGGCCACGGTAGAGAACTGCAGGCTCTGCACCTCCAATGATCCAACAGCGCCCCCTGCTGACTGTGATTAGAACCGTGCTGAAGAACAGAGAAGTACTCAGACTGTTTCTTTGGTTTGAAGGGGACTTTTTGGGTATAGGACTGTTATCTAGTTAGTTTTTTGTGTTCTGTTACTGTCCTTGCCAACATACATATATCTTTAATAAAGGGTTGTTATTTCTTCTTCTTTTTCCATACTTCCTCGACTAGAGCCTCCTTAATTTTGGATTTACAATTGCTGAGAGAGAGGAGTTTGGTCTACCTCATAACTCATCCTCTTTAGCAAACATTCCAGTCTCATCAAACTGAGACACATCACTTGTGAAAAATGCTACACACTGAAAGGAGTACAGCATAATCCTTTCCCAGATCTGGGTGGTAGCTCAGACCTTTCACCTTGTTCTCCTTCCAATTTTATCTCCTACTCTATACCTGGCTTTTTGACAGGAGCAGGAGTTCTAGGTGAATGGTCAATAATTTATAATTTTTACAGATTACTTCATTTTTTCTCATATATGCAACAAATCCATGACTATCTGGTACTGAGTAGCACAGGCGTAATATCTTGCCTCACAACATGTTTAGTTCAATTCCTCCTGCTTTGGAAAATCAACTTGTATCACTTGAATTCAAATTCGTCTTTCTATCTAACAAGGATTTAGGAAACTCACAGCTTTTTTTGATTAAAGAAAACCAGCAATGATGATGGACTTGCATTTAAATGTATGCATTTTCTCCATTTGTGCCTTTGGAAAATATCCTAAACAAAGGCAGTTTTTAGATGCATTCAAGAGCATTGAAAATTCCTAGTATGTTTGTTCAAATCTTTTCCTAGTGTCTAACTGGCTGAGAAAGCTTCTCATTATACTACTGAGTAAACAGTTCCTAAACTACATTCTAAAGGTGGTAAAGTACAATAAATTTCACTGAAGAGCTGAAAATGAACCCCTAATGATTTGGAAATATATTTTCCTATGGTACGCTCTGTGTTTATTTGCTGCCACTGAATACAGTCTGCAGCTGAAATGAAAAACAGAAATGTCAGAAAGGAAAGGATACATATGCAGAAATTTTACATTATAGAGCAAGGAGTTATTAGCTTCTTTCTCTGCTGTTTCAGTGAAATTGCATTGAGGATACAGTACTTAGCCCTGGGCTGCTTACTAGCACAAAGACCTGAAAGAACATGGGAAACCTAGGAAAAGATGAAAACTAAACATAGACAGAGACTGATTTAAAGATAATGGTATGATGAATGAACTCATATCAGAGTAAGGATTCTTGGAACTACTTTATTATAAATCAGTTACAGGCAAAAATGCTCCAAAGAATATGATGACAAGTCCTCCTTTTTTCCCCATTTCTGACTTGACAAGCAGAACATGATTTCGTAGAATTAATTTGCTATTCACACTTATTTCCTAGTTAAATTTAGTGGCTCATCCACGACTAATCTGTAAGGATTTGCTATTTGAAATTCCAGCTGTGCTGCTCAGATTTGATAGGCTACAGCAAACACATGGAGTGTTTGTTCCTAGGAGGATGCCTGTAACATCTCTGCTGGCAAGCTTGTCTATTAGAATATTTTTGGAAAGCAGGCACAAAAGAGGCAATAACAGTGACAGGAGATTGTGTTCTGACATGCAGAGCATGTTTTCAGGGGATGGTTCTATTTCAGGACCCCATCTTTAAGAAAAAAACATCCCTTAGGTCAGGGGAGTGTCAGACAGTGAGCATACTAAGAACAGAAGGACCTGAATGTTAACCTGGCAGTGGAAGAAAGGCCCATATGGCCATGATGGAAAGGGTAACAGGTACTGGTTATAGAGTTGTCAGCCATATGGTAACTGAATTTGATGAGACAGTACATGAGCATCAATAATAAACACTAAATGTATTGGGATAAGGACTAATTTACAGATTAGATGTAAAAAATTAAATTAAGCAAAGGAAAACTACACGAGACAGGATGAGTGTAAAAACCTGCTATTATTGGGCTGTGGAATTAGCATTTTGAGGAAAGGTGTAGGTGCCATCTCTTCAGAAACAAAGAGTGGACACATATATTGCAAGGATATAGCCCTGTTTCATTAACTATGAGAGAGATGGACAAGACATAATGAAGTATCTTTGTACCAGATTTCCATTCAAGTATACAGAAGAATCAATATTTACATGTTTTGTTTTCAGGCTCCTTCTCTACCCTTGTTACAACGAGAGTGGAATCTGCATGCAGTGAGTGTGTTAAATGACTTGCAGCTCATTTCCATTTAGAATGTCTGTTTAAATAGCAATTTAACCTTTGCCTGTCTTTGGTGTTGGGTAATACATGTAAAATGGTCACCAAGAATTGTGTATGAAGCACAGGTTGAAAGGAACATACTGAACCTTCTTGGCTTTTTTTTTACCTGCTTGTTTTATTTTCTCCTTTAGGATGTCAAAGGGAGAGAGGATATAGGCAGCAAATCAATAAGGAAGAGAAGAATCAAGATATTTACAGGAGAAGATGAGGCAAAGGAAAGCTGGGTGGCTCTCATTTCATCACATAAAACATGCTTTTTCTGATCACCTCCTGGAACCAAGAACACAATACTCTATTTGGTGCTCAAATACCATGCTGATGAGTTTCAAATACTTGGCTTGATAAAGTAAATAGAGTCTTAAGTAGCTCAGATGAAAATAAAATTTTGTTGAAAAAATGAAGATTCAGTACAAGCAAACATGATGTGCTGTTTCTTTTGTCATTATAATAAAGCTTTTTTTCTTTAATGTGTACTTCCCCTGAAATACTGGAAAATTTAAGTTCTTCTAGTTTTTTATATATATATATAAACCACATATCAAAGTAAGATTTATTCATAACTATCTTGCAGTATCATGGTAGACATGTAACACTATCTTTGCCATGCCTAGTGCTACATACAGTATTGTGTAACATAGAAAACACTTTAGGGTCCAAATATTCCAAATGGTGTGCAGATCTCTCTGTCTTTGCAATGCTCCATTTAAAGTTTAAGTGAGATATAAAGGTTTTTTGCCCACAGGAATCAACACCTTCATTTAAAAGTAGAACTAAATTGCAAATTTTCCTATATGAGGCAAGTCATTAACCTTTGCCAAATCGTTACCTCCAGAGATAATTAACAGTGATCTTGCAGAAAACCTAACTAATAAAGTAAGTTCTCGAAAAATAGTATAGAGAACAAATGTGGTCTCCCTCCCAGCTAAGGGGCTCATGTCCCTGGAGAAACCAAGTTTCTATGGACTTAAAAGAAAGTCAGGTGAAGAAAAAGAGGATTATTTTAATCTAATAAACCCCCAGGTACTGATCATCTTAAAATCAGCTGTGATGTTAGAGTAGAAAATTTATCTTGATATCAAATAAACTCTAGGTTACATTAATTAGACCATAATTCAATTAAAAATAATAAAACTTTTAACTAATTATTCAGTAACTAACTGGTTCTGAATCTGATGAGATCTGAAATTGCCTAGTTACACAAGAAAGTTAAAGGCTTAACATAGGAAGCCAATGCCCCTGGCTTGTCTATTGACTTCAGTGCTCACTTCATTTGATTTTATCTTTTACTGTTCTCTAAAATATTTACAAAAATATTGAATTAATTTACAGGAGTATTGTGAAGATAAATACATTATAGTAGAATCCACCAGGTATAGCATACCTTATGTCCTCTTATGTCCTGGCAATTGCATGAACTTTATGAAGTTGCAGGGAAAATCACTGCGATTTTATCACTCTGTGTAATCCTTCTATAAATTATTTATAAGAATTTAGTAATATGACACATTCATTCATGCTATAACCCTGTAAATAATCAAATAAAATATAAAATTATATATGCATCAGAATCGAGCAAGTTAAAATGAATATTTACTACTATCACAAAGGCTCAGGCAAGTAATTTTTTACAACACACTCTGAGATCTGGTTCCAGAACAGTACACAATGCTGTTTTCCTTCAAATGAATTAACTCAAAGAATAGAGACTATGGTATCAAGAAAGACCACCAGCCTCGACAGCCTATCTGTCTCATTTGTGTGGTACTTTTTGTTACTGCATCTGTCAGTTCCTGAGGGGAAAAATAAGTAAAAATTAGGCCATTCATACAAGGTAGGTCAATACTTCTCAGTAATTCCTCATTCTGTTATTGAATCTTCTGGGGAACAATACAAGACTTTTCAAATAGTCCGTCTACTCAATGAATCAGTCTTTCCTGTATTAGGAGTCAGTCACAGTCTGAGTGTAAGGGTGACTGCAAGTATTAGCGGGTCATCTGGAGCATCTCTTTTTAATACAGAGTGTGTATGACACTACTCTGTGCAGTATTGGTGAGGCCAGAGGAGAAACAGTGATCCTCCCCATGGGCTCATGTTTCAGCGATCCCATGCCAATAGAGAACAGCAACAACCAGAAATATGCTATGCATTTATAGGAAACCAGAAAAATTGTATTTTAAGATAATGTTAAGTGCTGAGGCCTCTGCTATTTCTGATCTAAGCAGATCATCTTCAGCAGTTATTAGCAAGACAATATCTTGCACAATTAGAAACAGCAAACATCATTTATAAACTGCACAATACAAAATAAAACTTTGCTAATGACCTAAGAAATCTGTGTTCTCCACCTTTTCTGCCACTGACTCCTATTCCTTGATGGAAACCAGCACATGGGGGTTTTTTATTTTGTACATGGCTGCCTCAATGAGACATTGATGTGGGCAATATGACATTGATGTCAATAAGAAATCTAGATGTGGGATTCTTTCCTCCACTTCTTTAAACAGTTAAATATATTTCTTTTTCTGCCTTTTGTATTGTTGAGTGGTTGGGCTTCTCCACAGATAAATCTAAAAAAATACATGGAAATGAGTGATTTACTACCAAAACCTAACAGAAAGCAATGACCGTGAAGTCACAGTTTTATTGAATCTGTTAAAAAAATATTTGCGTAGTAAATAACTGCAGAGTTTTCAAGCTCCTTAAATTGGGCTGAGTAGTTTCCTGTGAGTGTTTTAGTATTTGCTATAGATACAAATTAGAAAAGTACCATAGTAGTTTGATAGATTTTTGTATTTGGGGTTCTTCACACATGCGGGGGGTTAAGCTGGGGCTTATTGAACTGCTGACTAACTAATTCTTCTGATAAGCTACATGAGATCTTTTTTCCCAGGCTGAATAAATGCTTACATGCATCTGGATCAAAGATTTGCATTAACAAACTTAACATTAATTTTCTTCTAAAGCTTTTTACCTTCTAAAGCAGTACCTTCATGACATCAGTCTCTAGGATATTCCCTGAAAGCTATACAAGTATGTGAGCATGTGAAAAATGAGTGTATTCAAAAACTGACTGAATATTGGCAGGAAATTACTGTGATATTTTGCTCTTACACATATGGTAGAAAAGGACATAGGTAGGAAGAGAGTGGTACAGAACACAATAAAAGGAAATATCAAATGCTGGAGAGTTACACTGACAGATAGAATGTCCTGACCTTAACAAATAAACCTTATGACTGGATGGGAGATGCAAATGTATACTGAACTCTTAAAGCTGGAGCAGAACAACTAAAGCAAATTTAAAAATCCAGAAGACTTCTTCTGAAAAATTTTAGCTCATGGTAAATTCTAGAGGTGGCCTTATAAGACACCGAATTTGCAACTGTTATGAATAAAATTCCATGTTTAGCATCTCCCAGTTTTATTTACCAAATTACATTGTTTTACTCTCAGAATTTGATTCAATGCTACATTAACAGGTAATACGTAACTAGGAGTGCAATCAATGTCAATAGTGAAATACATAAACTCAATAATAAAGAACAACTAACAGTATGAATATGAAATTTGGAAGGAATTGATAAATTCAGTAGGATTAAAGAGATAATAATAGAAAAACAAGGCTGAAAGGAAGCTCTAGGGCCCAGCTACAGGGCCTACTGTAAGAAGAATGCTGTCCTTGTCACTGTCTGGCTTTCATTGAAAAGACACCATTTTCCCCCATCACAAAATTTCATAAGAATTTTTAAAGTAAACTTATAATTCCGTATTGTCATGTTGATCTTCAAAATTTTCTCCAGAAAGAAAATCTAAGATTCTCTGAGCTGATAAAGATATAATTTTAGCCATTTGCCCACATTCTGTTTAATGATTAATTTGGAACAGATGTCCCTCAAGTTATCCTGTTTAGCTCTGGTTAATTCCCTCACTACTAAACAATGATATTGAAGATATTCATCCCTTCTTTTTATATTTTTTTTTTTCCACGGTGTAGAACAGCTCCAACACAATAATGTGCTTAAGTCTCAGTGTAAAATAAACTGAAGTTTTAGGAAGTCAATAAGTATCAGAATGAATGAAATTTTATATCTGAAGCAAGTAGCAATAAGGCTTGAACATGATTTCGTTTTTCCTGTTGCCAACAGAAATTCACCCTGTACTCAGGAACACTTTTTTCTAATCTAACTTTTGTCCAACCATCTAAGTTTCTAAGTGAAAATGCATGTTTTTACTGAAGAACATTTCTCTGGTTCTAATGTTTCAGCAAAAGCATCTTGAATTTCATTGCATATATGTGTTTTGAGTTATCAAACTTGAAATACGTCTTCCCCAAATCTACTGTCAGCTCAGAGAAAGAACCTCACTGAGTTTTTTAATTCATACCTTTTTGTGGTACTTTTCTATGTCATCTGCATAAGTATATATTTTACTGTTGAACTGTATTATCCTATTTCTAAAAAAATGTCAATTTTTTAAGTTTTAAGGCATACAGAACAGTCTAGTGTTCTAACTAAGCAGACCAGTTCTAACTAACCAGACCAGTTCTCAGCTAATGTTTTCAGGAATAAATAATCAAGTAAGGTGAAAGCTATTCTCTCTACACCGACGAAGACAGTGTAATCTTCTTCAAAACAACTGTGAAATGGCAATATAAGAGTTTTAAAAACCAAAAAGAAATAACACCATAGACTATGTTGGAAGTAAATAGAATCAGAGAATAATAGAAGAGAATATGCTGAGGACAGGAGTGCACTTGTCCAGAGAGGTGCACAATGCACACACCACCCTAAAGATAACCCCTACCAACCAAAACCATGCTCTCTCAAATAGATTACTTCTTTGAAGAAACTTCTTGTCAGACAGATATAATCATATCATAAGTCCTATACTGTCCTATCTGGGAAGATATATAGAAAGTCAATCCTCAAACTATAAACTATCCTGGAAGAAGGTCATAACATGAATCCCTTTTTCAAATTCTCTTTCCTCCTGTTCAAATAAAGCTCTTCCTTTTAAAAATGCTCAGAAACAAATTTCTGTGCACTGATACACACCAAATAAGGTCAGACTGTGCCTAGGCAAGAAATGCAAAATTCTACAATGCGTTTCTCACACCCACCACAAAGTATGTTCACCTTACCCCCCTCTCATAGCACACTCAGAATGTAACTCACTTCCTTCAGTGCACTATATACCATCATAAAAGCTTTGTGCATGAAATTAAACAACGGCTTATAAAGTAAAGTAAACTTTCTCAGGGCAATCAGTAAGTCAGAAA